AGCGGAGAGAAGTCGAGGTTCTTGGTGACGGTTTCCACGAATACCAACCTCCTCAAAAGCCGATAAAGAAATGCGGAGAAGTTCCAGTCCGCCTAGTTAACGATGTGAGGAAATCACCCCTTTGTCCCGCGTGGGATTCAATGTTGACTTAATGTTCCTAGCGTGCGCATCAATCGGGTGTCAAGATCGATGACGACGACGGTCACTACATAGTAGTTCCTGATGCCGATCTCACATCACAATGTTCGTCTATCCATTCCATTCGCGATATACCTGTATCAGACTGACAACCACATAGATCAAATTAGGAAACTTCTCGGTCAAGGCACATTCGGCAAAGTAGTTGAGGCCCGGGATCGCAAGCGAAACAAGCTCGTTGCAATCAAAATCATCCGCGCAGTACAAAAATATCGAGATGCTTCAAGAATCGAGTTGCGGGTGCTACAAACCCTGAAGGCCAACGACCCTGAAAACCGGAATCGATGTATCCATTTACGAGACTGTTTCGACTTCCGCGGCCACATATGTATCGTAATGGATCTACTGGGCTCGAGTGTTTTCGACTTTCTAAAAGGCAACAATTTCGTTCCCTTTCCAAATAGTCAAATACAGAGCTTTGCTCGTCAATTACTAACTAGCGTCGCTTGTAAGTATACTCGAGCCTGCCATATCCTTTCCTGCTAACACTACGACCTAGTTCTCCATGACTTAAATCTTATCCACACCGATCTCAAACCCGAGAACATTCTTCTTTGTGACAGCGCCTATCAGACCTTCACCTACAACCGAAGGATACCATCATCAACCAATGGGGCTAACCGGCAGGCCTCACAACGCAAGGTCCTCCTTGATACTGAGATTCGTCTGATAGATTTTGGATCTGCTACTTTTGACGACGAGTATCACTCCTCCGTGGTCTCTACACGTCATTATCGTGCGCCCGAGATCATACTTGGCCTTGGCTGGTCCTTTCCATGCGACATTTGGAGTATCGGATGCATTCTAGTCGAGTTCTTTACGGGAGACGCCCTATTCCAGACCCACGATAACCTAGAGCATCTCGCAATGATGGAAAATGTGTGTGATAGTCGAATCGATACACATCTAGTGCAGATGGTCAACAAGTCAGCATCACGCAGCAGCAGCAACTCCCCTGCCAAGTACGTTTACGTTTCAAATACATTGTTAGAAAAGGGCCGGCTTTCTGATGCGAGAATTAGGTATTTCAAACGTTTGAAATTGGATTACCCCACAACAGAGACCACAAGAGCCTCTAGACGATTCGTAAGGAACATGAAGCGTCTAAGTGTAAGTGCGATCGCAACACGATGAGAATCCAGCTAATGCAATTTTAGGATATCATACCTGCTACTAGTCCTTTTCTGCGGCTCTTCTTGGATCTTCTACAAAAGATCTTCATCTACGACCCAGCAAAGCGAATTACTGCCCGCCAGGCTTTGGCACATCCTTGGTTTCGGGAAACTGCCATTCCCGACGACGGGACTGAAGCTTTAAAAATCCGGTTAGAGCGTATGAGGGATAATGATTACCATACATCTCGAGTCCCAGTCGCGGTATAAGAAGCAACAATACTCTTTACTAACGACGTTGATATCGGGAAGGGGAAAATGTACATTTCACCAGGACACAAGTGTTTATGATGCATATGTTGCGGTTACGATGCCTATAATCTCTATCAGCGTGCATGAAGGGTGGTACCCGAACGGCGTTTTGGCCAGCATTGGGCGGTTGTATCCACGACGATGCGGTCAATTTACATAGAGAAATCTGCCAAAGGACGTTGATGATCAAAGGAGAGTGACGGTGTGACGTCTTCTCAATATATACTTTACACCAAGCAATATCGCCGTTACTTGGTACATGTACCGGCATATGATGGTGGACACTCTCGGTGCTTTCATTGTGTGATAATTGAGAACTCGATTGGGCCTAACACCTAGTTGATAATCGACGGGTTTGCCAGCTTCTTCCAGTAAGTGCACATCCCTTCGAGACGTCACTAACACTCTTTAGATCTGGCAGATCCCCTCATGACTCAAATACCAGGGCTTCGCGTTCGTCCCGCCTTCAAGCATCAAGATGAGTGTTCGTGCTTCTAAGACGACCCGAGTCTATCATATGTGTTGTTTGAAACAAAGGAATTACTCGTCGGAATAAACAGAGGGTCATAAAGACAATCAATGTCTTTGAAACCACGGCCCTTGTCTGGCCGTTGTCAAAACAAGAGTTTTCTTGGAAAGTATAATACGAGCCGGTTCTACGAGGTACCAGCGTATTCCTCGCACTATTACCCAACTGAAAGCACCTACATACTATTGACTTACCAGCCTACATTGATTCCATTGCTGCCTGTGAAGTCTGCTGAATCAGACCGTTTGTTACGAGACATTTATTGCCTCTTGTGTGTTCCTTATGAGTATCGACATTCGAGACCTATCAGACGAACTCATCGTCCAAATCACCAGAGTGCTAGCACGACGTCCTGAATATGGTATTGCTCAACCTTCCCGGAGATGGCTACAGAGACAAGAGGAGAAGATAAAGCAGCTTCCTAAAGAACTGTTAAAGCTGTCGGGCTTCAAGCGTCTAGCCATCAAGATAGCCGATAGCATCGACCCAAATATTGTAGACCCGCGAGCTATACTCTGCCAAACCCACTCTGGTCTCAACCCTTTCTTAATTCGAAGACTGTTCATCGCCCTCGCGTATGAAGTCACAGTCCACGCAGACCCCTTACGTTCATGGCCAGGTAGAACCTCAGATCCCGAGCTTTCTGCTTTTGTTGGGCGACTTGACTCAATTACAGCCTTATGGACCGAGCCGCGGCTTTTCAAAGAGATATATGGGCTGGCCCCCTTTGATAGCCATGGCATATTCGTCCAATCTTCGTGTGAAGCGTGCTGTCTTGCGGCCGTTGGCGCCAGTGGCCGAGCCTTGGCAGACCTTCGCGCAGCGATCATAGATCGCATGGAGCGACGAAGAGAGAGAGCCGCAGGAAAAGAACCTCGTCTGCGCCGTGTTGTTGAGGCTTGGATCGACCACCTTCGAAAGCACCACGACGAAGTAGGCCGACCCGAGGAATGTCGGGGTTTGAGCGAAGCTCTTTTGATCAACTTAAGGATGGCTAGGCCTAAGATTATGGCGTGGCGAGCCGAGCAAAAGCGTCGGCAACCCGAGCAACGCCCTGTATATACCGAGCTTAGGAGAACTAGGGCAGGCGTCGAAATCGCTCCTCTACCAGCTAGTGCCGGGCGTGAAAGACGGACGAGAAATGGAATCCCGGTTGCCTTGGCCGATGTTGAGGGGGCAAAAAGGCAGAGAGAAGCTGCCGTGTATGGGGACAGGGCTGAGAGTATCTATCGCCCTGATAGTCTTTCTCCACATTCCGAGGTGAATAGGCGACAGCGAGCTGTTCGTAGCGCTCCCATCGCCGATGAACCTCGCCCCGGTGCCCCTGAACCGGTCCGGACCAGCGGTCTCAGCGACGGTTTACCGACCGAATCTTTCCTCCATCGGTTCGAGCAAGAAATGCCCGCAGACCATGGGCGTGAGCCCCCCGACTTTGAATATGAGCCAGAAGAGGAGCCAGAAGACGATCATTATTACGAGAAAACCAGAGCTAGACTCCAGGACTGGTTCCTTCAACGAGTATCCGAGTCTCAGCTTCATCTCAACCCAAATGATACGGGATCTGTGCTTTCCGGGATACACGCCGCCATCCGCCCCAGTAGTCATAACTTAGCTGGGTCTATTCCGCCCGTTCCACTTCACACCACGAAGGATTATGAATCACAAGCTGGAGCCCCGGTAGAGCAGTATACACCGGCACGAAGTGAGTGGACGGATTTGACTGTGCATACGGACGTTTCGATTCCCATTGCTAAAGACGTACCGTCGATACTAGATATACCCTCGGGGCATATAAATTGGCCTGCTCCGCTGCAAGGACGCCTAACAACTCGGGATAGTCTACAGCCGAGTCATGGGTCCCTCTCCCCCAACTCTGACGTACGCTACGATCCAGCGCAGCACCTCGCGTCCCGTAGGGAACAGCTCAGGACGAAGGAATCGCTCGCCCCGAGGCCTTCATCGTCCGGACCGACGACGGCCAGATCCGCAAATACGCACCGCCACTCGATCGCATCTAGCTCCGTCTATGACAAAAGTAGTATAACAACTTACACCAATGTTCCTTCTAGCGCAGCCATTATGGATCCCCTACACAGAAACACGGTCAAGTCCGGACCCCGCGGTGGAAACGCAACTTCGGCACCGAGGGACGCGGCTAGGACCGTACCGCGGCCCGCCACTGTCGAAGATAGCGTCGCCCCTAGTGATTCCGTAAGTAACGCCAGCCGGCGGTGGAGTCGGTATTCCAGCCCTCCTTCTTCAGCTGCTACGACATGGAGTGCCTTCCAGGGGAAGATGTAATGAGATACGATGCAATAAATTGGGAGTTCGGGAGTAAGTACATAGCGTGTTTGTAATAAAGTATTTGTTTATTTGTTTATGCCGTAGGATTAGACGCCTCTGATGATTTTTCTTGCTTCCGTTGACCGCTCTTGGTAAGTTGTAAGTTACCTCTTACCCCGTAATACCTCTTTGCCAGTCCGTGACATGATATTAGATTTTCAGGGATTTGAAGGTTTGGTGCGTCACTAGGATTTTGCACCTTGTGCCGTCTATTTCGGAAGATAACAAGTACTTGCATTGTTTCATACTTATTCCGCATTTCCTGCTAGTAATTCCGCGGTTGTTCTGTGGATGAGGAAAACCGAAACCTTTTCAAGACCAAAAATGAATCAGTGCACCACACTGTCGCAAGTAGCAGTTTCATTCAACTCAAATAGAGTGAAAGGTGAACACGGTCATTGTTAAATTATCTTTGAAAGGGATGTGATCGGTCTTCTTTCATGAACAAACAACACTGGATTGTTGACAGTTATGATGCCAATCGGTGAGTGACGTTACATAATATTGGGCGAATGGTCTAGAGGTATGATATTCGCTTTGCAAGGTCAGGGAATCACCCAATCAGGTTGATGTTGATGATAATTGTGATTGCGAAGGGTCCGGGGTTCAATTCCCCGTTCGTCCATGTTTTTTGCTTTTTTGCGGTGGGAGAAATGATGAATATCAAACCAAGCAGTAAATAATAAGAAAGACCGGTCTCTTGAGCTATACATTTCTATGGGCTAACACGGCGGTGTTGGCGCTGAACGTGAGTTGCTAGGCATGATGCAAGCTGCATCTGTTGTCTGAGTGAGACACGAAATTATCTGGCATAGCCAACTGCTCGCATAGCTATAAGTCAAGACACACAAGGGCTCTCGTCCACTTTATTATGCATTTCTATGAAGTAGTAGTCTCTTTGTATATGAAACAGTCAATTCTTCAGCTCTTAATTCTCTTTGTGTGGTAGTTGTTAGTAATAGGGGATTTCGTGGGGCATTAAACTCAGCAGTTCCATCATATTTGTTATTCATGAATAATGTCACAAATACTTTCTTTCAAGGCTTCTAGCGATAGTGCCTCTTCTTGCTCCCCACGTATGCAAATAAATTGAATGACAATGCATTATATTTTCAGACTAGGGATGTTCTAGAGACTCTCCTCAAGTTACTTAAGTCTATTAAGAACTTGATGCTTGAGGCACCAACCCAAGTTCATCTCAACTGTCTAACTAGGAATTCAATCTTATTCATTGTTTGGATCAAGGGGCCCGAGAATTTCCAAATAGAATACAATTAATTAGTTATCGCTAAGGAGTCTTGTCATACTTTTTTTCTTAACTATGCACATTAGACTGGGATAAGGATGTTTGGTACTACCGTTATTAGCAGTCGTATATTGTGTCCCACTCTCAAGCCGAGTCCGGAGGGTTCATATAGATAGCTAAAAAGCCCCCATGTGGCCTTGAAACAGGGCCGTATTGAAACTACACGGCCAAAAGTAGATCATCATCAAATCAGACCCTTGGCTGCCTGTAGCCCGCTATGAGCTTGTAGCTAATCAAAATCGCTACCATTGAACATAACTGAATTTGAATCAAGTTTCGATAACCAAGGGCTTTTCAATTATTTCGATGGTATATTGGACCATGTAAAGTAGGCGCGATAACGGTTATAGCGAAGCGAAAATAATTTATTAGTTCCATCACTCGGCACGTCGTCCGTGTTTGATCTTTATTACCATTCCGCCTTCCATTTGAGCCATATCGCAAGCCCATCATTCAGGCCATCAATCAAATCAACGACATCAGCACTAAGAAACTTGTCACGCTAATCGCCCCCGCTAGTTTCGCGGCCTTGGTGGGAGCACTAGCCGGGACTGGCGGTGTGAATGGCTTGGGTGTGAGAACCTATATTGTGTAAGTCATTTGCATCATGTAGTAACAGGGTATCACGCCATTCTTCTATTTCCCTCATTCACCTCTGATGCTCGATGAGGAAAGCTCACCTTATCAATAACGTGCCCGACTCCGTTTGAGAGGATTAGGTTTGCTTGCGTGATTCGCGCGCCGTTGACGTAGTATATTCCGGAACGGACGCTAATCGCTAGGCTCTCGCCGCGCTGTGTCTTGAGGATAGTGCCGTCCGTAAGGTCGGGTAAGTAGCTGACAGTGCCGGCGACAACGTGGTTGGTAAGCAGCTCGGGTGGAGAAGCGGTTGTATTTGTCGCGGAGAAGGCAGCGTTAGATGGGAAGAACACTGTTACGGAGTGCGTCGAATCAAGCGTGCTGGTCATGTTGCTCTTAGAGAGTAAACCAGCGAAGGCAGTCTGCCCGGTCGCTTGGGATGTAGAGCTGAGGGACTCTGGTAGAGTAAAAAAGCTGTTGAGCGGTAGATGTCAGTTGGCGTCCAAGTTTGCGACACGTAGTAAGACATTTTACCTATCTGTAATATGGATCAACCCCCCATTAAACGGGATGTCTCCTTTGATAACATTCGTGGTATTTCCTAGCCCGGCCGTAATCCTGAGAAGTGATGGGGTGGTATTATTCGATGCTTGCCTCGGTCGTAGGCTGAATTGTGGGTTCCAACGCTTCGTGGGACGGGTGACGTTGGAAGGCCTGGTGTCAGTAATGACCTTCTGCCCCTTGTCATCAAGCTGTGGGGACTTGTTGGCAGTCTCAAGAATAGCACCAGGAAGGGTACGGCTAGCTATTCCTAGGTTAACCTCCCCCTTTGTTGCTTGAATTGTGGCCTGTTGCCGCTGCCTTGGGGTGAGAGCCCGTTCTTGAAGACTATCAAAAACGGAGTCGGAGGGGGCAAAGATTGTTTGGAACTCCCCAGAAAGGTAGATCTGCAATACTTCTGGGTCGGATTGGATTGAAGAGGCAAACTTGGAAGCCCCCGAAGCAACGAGAGTGTCAATGAGTCCGAGTGTAGTTTGGGACACCGCTAGAGCTGTGATGCTCAGGAGCGAAAGGACGATGGCCCAAGGTCGTTGGAACATCTTGAACTCGGGTCTGGCTTCACTGGAGAAAACGAAGGTGGTGGCTGTAATTCATACAGTATATGGTGTATAGGAGCACGAATATCCGAATCGGTGTTGAATGGGGAGAAAAAAAGATCAGGAACCACGGCGACACTTAATTGTGGGCAAGATACTATTATGTGAATTTCATAGCATCACCAACCATGATAATCATACCCCGTCCTGTTGATTTATTGACATCCCTAGTCAGCTAGGCAATTTATTCATTCATCCATGCGATCAGCTAGGACCGCGTGGGATGTAAGCAGCCCATAATCTTGACCCACGTCAAAAGTGATTCTTGAGCGTAGATTGAAAATAAGAGCCGAGTGACTTATACGCGACGTCGCTACGTGCATGTGCATATAGGTTCCCATTATCTGATTCGGGTGGGCTGTGGTGTTGTAATGCCACGTTGAGTGAATTCGGGCACCAAACCGCGTGGGGCTGACGAATAACACGCCGTTTCGGGGACCTCATGCACAAGGTCAACCCGTTTATCGAGTCCGGGGGGGGGAAACTCCCTGCAAGCCAAGAATAGTCCGTGGCCAGGACAGTGGAAAATGTGAGGCTCTGTAGGACTTGGAGTTGTAATGCACATGTTAGTCTTGCATTAGTCCTTGGCAGCAAAGGAAGAGGGTGGTTGATGATGAAAAGAGTAATTCGCATGTGCTTTTTACTATGCTCAGTAGAAGTTACATTCGTTTCTTCGCTTTTTTGGCTGACTCCCCTCTTCGCAGAAACAACCTCTCGACAACAGAAACGCCGTCAAGATCATCACGACAATGGTTGTGTCAACGACCAAGCAACTTTCGAATACCTACAACCTATGGCAGAGGTTCAGCTTCTCTACGGACACAAGGTCCTGGGATGCTGTTGCCGTCCCCTCCTGGGTTGGTGATAAACTCAACTCTGCTTATACCTTCATTATCTCTCTGGCACTGGTACAGTTCTGGACTATAGTCCTCAGTCTAATCCTCTTCATTGCTTTGAAAAAGTACAAAAATGATGCTTCCCAGCTCGATCCGCTCGCTGTCACACTATGGAACAAAAGAGGTGACCTGGTCAACTCGGTAACGGAGATGCTAGGGTTCGGAGGAACGGATTGGACACGACCGTGGCTCCTAATAACAATTTTCATCGCGGTTGCTGCTGGTGTTGCAAAGACTGCTATAACGATCGTAGTAGCACCGCTCATCATCATTGATCACGCAGCACCGGTGAACCCAGAGGCCGTGTATACCCCTGACCCCACCCCGATGGATAATCAAACCAGAGCTGCTCGATTTGCGTTGGAGGTGCCACGGTTTTTTCGTGCACTTGGTAGTGCGGTAGTCGACAATGAACTCCGCCAGAGGGTACGAATAAGCCGGCCGCAGCGACTAGGCCAGACCGAGAACGGCGAAGACATCATTCGTATTGATTATAGCTACGGTGCTACAGGAGCCGATTTAGGAATCCAGAAATACTTCGACCTGATATTCAACGTCACTGGTTCCTGTGTTACGGACTATGGGTGGTTTATAGACACCAATAATAGTACAGGCGTCCTTATCGATGAATACTTGCCTCCATTCGTTGACGGAATTCAATATACTTCCGTGTTCGACGGCACGGAGCCCTCAGCAACGTTTTACTATGGAGCCCAGACTAGGGGCACACTTGACGAAAGTAATACTACATGGGGTGCTCTTGTGTCGTCAGTGGGTAGAACGAGTTTTAGTGCTGGAGCCGACCCTTGGTATCTTACTGCACCTATTTCGTCTGAGGACACGGGCGCGGGGAATACTGTGCTCTCAGGGCGGCCCGGAATTTCGTGCTGGCAAGACGACGTATGGTCGTACCATGGCCATAACGGTACCACGGCCGCTTTGACAAGCAATCAGCTCCCGGGTTTGAACTTGTCAGATTCCTTACAGGGCACGTTAGCACAATATCTCGGCTCGCCAGTCATACAACAAGCAGGTTTCCAACTGCAAAAAGCCGCTCTTATGTCGGCGACGACGTCCCTCGATCAAATATTTGATGCCGGCGCCAGCAGTTTATATAATGACCTTGAGCGCCTTGTGTTAACCGCTTACGTGGCCACTATCAATTGCTTAACCGACACAACCTTATATCCTGTTACAGCAGTTGGGTCGGTCCCTAACATTGCGATTGGAGACCGCGGCGTGGTGCCGGATGACCTGGGCTATGTCGTCTGGAGCCCGGATGTCGCAACACTATCTACACTTGTAATAATTGTCATCCCGACTATACTAGTTGGTGTATGGCTCGTTGCTGTAGTATTGATATATTGGACCCCTATCAAGATTGTCGCGATTCTCGATTCTAGCTCTTTGCAAGATCAGAAACAAGGGAGCTCGCAAGAGAGTCACTCAAGCCCTACAGTACCGGGCGACATCGAAGGAGCTAAACCACCAGAGAAACAGTAAGACTTTAATACCCCTTTGCACCCAAATTCGCGTACTGATTGGTCATATAACCAGGTCCGAATCGGCTCCAGTTAGTGGTACAACTACCTGAACGTGCAAGCCACGAAGGTGCTACGTGGCATGGGGAGCTAGCTTCCCTCTCTATACTGTATGGATCTGTGGCGGCATTGCTGTTAATTCAAAA